CCTGCTGCTGCTGCTGCTGCTGCTGCTGCTGCGCGCGCAAACGAAACGGTCAGCCTCACATTGCCTGGAAGCAAACGAACTGCTGCAGCTGCTGCTGCGACACTGCTGCTGCTTCTGTTGCACCCGTTGCTGTTCCTTGGAATACTGCTGCTGCTGCCAATGCGCTGCAGCAGCAGCAACAGCAGCAGCAGCAGCAGCAGCAACAGCAGCAGCAGGCAGCAGCAGCAGAAGTGACTGTTTTGTTTTTGCAGGTTTCTTCTATGATGGCGACTATGGGTGGACCTGAGCGGCAGCAAACAGCTGAGGAACAAAACCAGAGGCAGTTGCTGCTGATGCTGCTGATGCAGTTGCAGCAGATGCAGCAGCAGCAGCAGCAGCAGCGGCAGCAGCAGCAGAAACGGCAACAGCAGCAAGTGAGCGCGCCACGGACGTCTATGCAGCCGATAGAGGCTCCTCTCCAGCAGCCTCAGCAGACGCAAAGCCAGGGGCAGCAGTTGCTGCAGCTGCTGCAGCGCCTGCTGCTAACACTCAATAGACAAAATGCAAGCAGCAGCAGCACACCTGACTCTGCTGCTACTCCTAACCTGCAACCCCCCATCAGCGACGCAGCTCCGCCGCCAGCAGCACCAGCTGCAGCAAGAACAGCAACAGACGTAGCAGCAACCACAGCTGCACTCAGATCGAATGTGCAGAAGTAAGCTTTCCACACAGCTAGCTAGCTAGCTAGCTAGCTAGCTAGCTAGCCAGGGAATTGGCTAGCCAGGGTGCAGCATAGAGCTAGCTACTGTTGCTATTCATGGGCTGACAAAGAAAGGCGGGTGGAGGTGACAGGGGAGGCGCTCATCGTTGCTGCTGCTGTTGCTGCTGCTGCTGCTGTTGCTGCTGCTGCTGCTGTTGCTGCTGCTGCTGCTGTTGCTGCTGCTGCTGCTGTTGCTGCTGCTGCTGTTCAGGCTGGTGTATGTGCTGGTTGCCAAGCTATGTCAGCAGCAGCACGCTAAGCATTTGCTGCAGCGGATGAGCAGCGACCCCTCACAGCAGCTGCAGCAGCAGCAGCGACACCTGTTCCTGCCGCAGCAGGAAGACCTGCAGCAGCTGCAGCAGCAGGGGCGTTGGAAGGCAGTCCAAGACGCCCAAACGCTCGCTGAGAACGTAAGCAGCAGCAGCAGCAGCAGCAGCAGCAGCAGCACCAGCAGCAGCAGTAGCAGCAGCGACAAGAGTATGCTCCTCCGTATACTTAGTTTGTCTTCTGTTTGTGTTTCTGGGGTGTATGTACACTTGAAGAGAAGTACTGTGGTTGCGGCGTTGTGCTGTTTCTTCCCTATTTGTTTGTTCATTTGCCCTCACGTTCTTCTTCTTGTTTATATTTGTTTATATTTTGTTGAGTTGTTGCTTGTTGGTTCTTTATCTGCATTTGCTGCTGCTCTGTCTGTCCTTCTATCTCTTGTATTTATATATCTCTCCGTTGCTATCACACTCTCTATGGAGACAATTTTGTTAGTATTTTGGTGTATTCGTCTTTCTATCTCTTTTTGTTTTAGTGTTAGTACAGTGTACAAACAAATCAGTGTGTAAATGCGGTGTATATACACTGCAATTCCCACTGTATATATTGCAGTGTATATACACCTCATCTGCATGCATAGATGCATCCGGGGTATATTTACTCTCCCCAGTGGCAGCATCTCCTCCTCTACAGAAAAGTTCAACTCACCAGAGAGTAGCTAACCACCTAGCTACCCACCTAGCTAGCTAGCTAGCTAGCTAGCTAGCTAGGTAGGTATACAGCTGGAGTGAAGTTGCTGTGAAGCCTCTGTTGTGCCCCTTCAGGGTATTCAAGGCGTCCGGCTGTCGCAGATATCAGAGGAGTGGAGAAAGCTGTACGGCTGCGACATAGAGGGCCCCCTGGCTCATACAGGCTGTGCAGACGTGAGAGTTTTTTTTTTTTTTTTTTTTTTTTTTTTTTTTTTTTTTTTTTTTTTTTTTTTTTTTTTTTTTTTTT